GGGTACGAGAAAATAATATGCCTTTGTTGAGTTATTCCTTCAACAACAAAAATATCATGTCTACAAACCCCTTTAGGACCCAATATACTAATTTGGAACCAACTTAGAGAAACAGTGCCACCTGCTGATTATACACATTGTTTGCGGCAAGTCACAGAATTTCAATCTTGCCAACGTTAATATTACAAACACAAAGCTGCCAGGCAGTGTGACGTAGGCCACGAATGCACCACTCAAACAAGGTGACAGCAGGGGTTTTTGACTTGTTCCTTTATCATATACCGTGTTAAATGGATGGATAGGCTGTAGGGAAGCTGAATTCTGCAGAACAGAGCAGCTCATGTTTTAATTCATCATTAGTGATTCAGGCCTAATGAGAACGCGATTCAAATGCATTTACGTTGTTATTTAGAGCAAGAAGATTTTCACATGAAGGCGTGTCAAAGGTGTGTCTGTGTAATTAGGAATGAATTACGTATGTGACTCGAGTAATACCCGTCGCGCTGACAGCTTTTGGCAGCTCATGCAGCAGATTGATAGAAACCACAGAAGCAAAAAGGGATGTCTCTATCCTGCCGGAAGGCAAGAAAAACCTGCTGACTCTGCCTTCGTCAGTGTCCAGCACAGCTCCACGCTCAGCAGTCGGCCTAAAAAATACCTTGAAACTGAGATTTCTGAGCAGGGAACCTGATCGTGGCAATTAAGGGGAAAAAGGTGAATCATCTCATTCATTCGTTCATTCATTCATTTCTTACTTAAAAGGAGCTGTTTTGTACCAGGGACCACACAAGGTCCTGAGTTACTGGGATGAATAAGACAAAATCCCTGCCTCAAAGAATTCAGCCTAGAGTGAGAGGGGGCCAGGTAAATAAAGTTACAAACAATGTGCTGAATGTCACCTAGCGGAGCTAGAGACCAGGAGCATAGATAACGGACACAAGAAGGGAACTCCTAAAACCTGAGCATCTATCACAGGAACAGGTGCTTTTTATACGCAACCCCGATGGTAACTGGGTACCCTTTAACACCTGGATTCAATGAGTCTGAGCCCCTACAAGTCCCTGGCCTTTCAGTTCAAAAGCCTTCCTCTCTTCCAAGGACTGACCATCATCTGTGCCTCTCAGCCTCTGGGCTCCTGGGTCATGCATGCTGCCTTTGTCCTGGGTCACATTAATTCCCTAACAAAGCTCAGCCTCTTCTGAAATTTCAGCAAGACTTCAGGGCGGGGCAGAGATGAAGGGAGGGTTCCTGGCATACTACGTAGCAAACAACTAAATGGAGAAGAATTGTAACTGAAATACCCTCCCTGGTTCCCATCACAGGGAGTTTCTCTTATCTAACCCAGACCCAGTCTCCCTCCATATTCTCATTTTTCTCTCTCATCCTTCCCTCTCAGACTGTCTCCAAAATTCCAAAGTTTTCTTCCCCTTTTACACTCTGACAGCAACCAATACCCAAGACCTTGAGAGGCTTACCAAAGTTTTAATAGGTGTTTTTCCAAATAAAGCTAAAATAACACAATTTGTATCCACATGGATGAATCTGGAGATGGTCATTCTAAGTGAAGTAAGCCAGAAAGAACAAAAAATACCATATGATATCACTCATATGTGGAATCGAAAAAAAAAAGAAAAAGAAAAAAGGAGACACTAATGAAATCATCTACAAAACAGAAACAGACTCACAGACATAGTAAACAAACTTAATGGTTACAGGGGCGGGAGGGGATGAGAAGAGATAAATTGGGAGTTTGAGATTTACAAATTATATATAAAATAGATAAAAACAAATTTCTTCAGTATAGCACAGGGAATTATATTCAACACCTTGTAGTAACTCATAATGAAAAAGAATATGAAAATGAATATATATATATGTATATGTATGATTGAAACATTATGCTGTACAGCAGAAATGGACACACTGTAACTGACTATACTTCAATTTAAAAAAAGACTAAGAGGAATTCTGATGCAGGCAGTCAAGATAATATATCTCTAACTCGCTGACCATATATTATTTCCTTTAAGTTTCAAAACTGCCTTGGACATATCATTGAACAGATGGGAGAACTCAGTTCATCTACAACAATGCTAACCTTATCTGATAGGTTGCTAATGCATGCAAAGCGCTTAGCATTCAGAACACAGAAATAAAACACTTAATAAATGTTCGCCATTATTTTTATCACTATCATACTTGTTCTATCTCTTTTGCAATTACTGCTTAGCTAATACTCATTCAATCTCATGACTTTTAAAAATACCATTTATGCTGACAAATTCCAAATTTATCTCCAGCCTTGACCATGCTTATGAACTCAACTCAAATACCAAGCTGCTTTGTTTGACATTTCCACGGGATGTCTAATAAGTACATCAAACTCGACATAATCAAAACTGGACTTGTGCGTTCCCCCACAACCTCTCCTCTCACAGTCTTCCCCTCTCAAGGGGACTGGCAACTCCATTTCTCCTTTGGCTCAGGCCCAAAACCTTGGGTCATTCCAAATGATTCCAATATCATCTCTTTTTCTTACACCTGACATTCAATCCATTCAGATATCTTGTTGGTTCTGCCTTCAAAAATATCCAGAATCCAACCACTCCTTGGCACTGCACTGCCACTGCTTGGTCTAAATCACCAACACCTCTTGACTGGATTAAGGCAAGAGCCCCCTAACTCATCTCACTGTTTCCATCCCACATTCCACCAGTCTGTTTTCATCACAGAGCAGCTCAGATCGTGTCTTTCCTTGGCTTAATTCCCAGTGGTTTTCTATCTCCCTCAGAGTAAAAGCTAAAGCCCTCAAAAGGGTCTTCAATGCCCCATAACACCTGATCTCCGCCACTCCCATTACCCCTCTCACCTCTTCTCTTACTGCGCTTCTTACTGTCTCCACATGGCCTCTGGCTGCTCCTTGAATATGTCAAACCCCACTTCACCTGACTCAGGACCTTGGCATTTGAGGTTCCTTCTGTCTGGAACAGTTTTCCCAGAGAATGTCATGGTTCTCTACCCCTCGCTTTTTTCAGGTCTCTGCATAAATCCACCCCATATAAATAGCAACCCCCATTCCCACTTAGTTTAATAGCTCCCTTCCCCTGCTTATTTTTCTTCATAGCACTTTTCGCCACGTGCAATATTACATATGCACATTGTTCTCACAGTGCTGGATGAGAGCACAATGAGGGCAGAAATTTTGCCTATTTTACTGTGATGTGTGTAACCTCTAAGACAAGGGCAAATTAATTTAATCATTTAATCAAAATTAAGGAAGTTTCAAGAAGTTCACCAATACCTAATGTAAACAGAAGCTAAAATAAAGACTGAAAAGAGTTCATTGCATTTGTCAACCAGGGAGTCACTGGGATAGAGGCCTTGAGGGTTGGGGAACAGAGGCCAACAGCTTTGGGTTGGGAGTGATCAAGAAGTGGGAAGGCTCAAAAATGTTCTCCTAGGGCAGTCTACCCAAGCAATAGAAATAAAAGCAAGAATAAATAATTGGGACCTAATTAAACTTACAAGCTTCTGCACACCAAAGGAAACCATAAGTAGGACAAAAAGACAACTTACAGAATGGGAGAAAATTTTTGCAAATGAAACTGACAAAGGCTTGATCTCCAGAATATGTAAGCAGCTCATACGACTTAATAAGAAAAAAAAAAAAACCCAATCCAAAAATGGGCAGAAGACCTAAACAAGCAATTCTCCAAGGAAGACATACAAATGATCAATAGGCACATGAAAAAATGC